GTATCACTAATCTGTGGATATAGAGATAAGTAATTAGAAGGCAGGATAATAATCTTTCTATTGAAACACAAAAACAAAAACAACAATAACCCCAGTAAAATAGGTTTTGACTAGCATCTGTGACCTCTTCAGCCACAGGTTTTGGTCAGATTTACAGTACCAGGCACGAGTTTTAAAACATATAGGGGCCTTGAGTTCAATCAGAAAGCCATTGGCTACTCCCATAAAATTCCCATCACCCTGGCACCAAAGGGCGATTTTGTGAGGTCAGTCATTGTTGTAGCTCTCAGGGTTCATCCCTGGGTAAATTGGTTAAAGGTTTTTCTTACTTGGCTGTCCATATAGCACCATCTGGAACCATGAATAACACTAGCATCTAGGGAGGGATTTCTCAGACAATTCCTAGCTTCACTGATCATAACTTGTGATTCAAGTATGTCGTGTTTTTAGCTACAGTGTCTTACTATCTAATTCTTGTGGGTAACTAACAGCAATGGCAATAGTCTGTTTTATTGTGGTTGTCTATGTGATTTCTTTGACAACTCATAGGGTGACATCCTGAGCTTCACAATGAAATTCCAGTTTGATAATCATCAATTTTCTATATAGAGAGGCTCCGTTTTAACTCTTATTTTGTATGTACACGTGGAAGCTTCTAAAATCGCAAGTTTCCATATGGCTTTTTCAAGCATCCTTAGCATTAGTTACCCCTGCTCTACCCCACCTTCTCTCTGTACTCCCAAACCCCTCCCTACTTAACCCTTTCCTCCACCGCATCTCCTTCTTCTCTTCATGCTTCCTGTGCTCTGCTATCCTCCTTCCCTTCAGCACCCTCACAATGGCCACTTTCTGCTTACCTGATTTCTAAAGGCACTTGAAGATTTAAAGTTAAGATCTGAAATTAAAGAGCACAGAAATTATCTTTCAGAGTCAGTGTTTTCTTACTAAGTATGAATTTTTCCCCAGTTCCAATTATTTACTTACAAATTTCAAAACTTTATTTTTCTTTGCATCAAATAAAATTTCCTTGAGCATATTTACCACACTGTCACGACCCAGTTATTAGTTTCTGTACGTCTGCAGTATTTCCATTTCTTAGCTATTGTGAATAGAGCAGCAGTGAGTGGGCACTGTAATCCAGAGTCCTTCCTGTCTCTATGCTCAGGAGTGGTATACCTGGCTCACATGGTAGATTTATTTATAGTTTTGTGAGGAAGACTTCACACTGACTTTCATAATGGTTCCAGCAGGTGATACTCCCCTAACAATGAATGAAGGTTTCCCTTTGCCCACATCCCTGTCAGAATTTCTTTTCATTGATCTCTTGACGATAGTCATCTGGCCCAGGTGAGATGGATCTCAAAGTAGTTTTCATTTGCACAGTTTAGCTCTTTCTCTGCCCTAAGTCAATTCTCAATTGCAATTAATGAGTGCATTGTTTAATGTAAGGATTATGTCTGACATCTTTCTTCTTCTTGTTCAGAGGAACCTGAAGATGCCAAGAACAAAGCTCGTTTAGGAGGGGACAGAAAGGAGCCATGTGTTTACCTAGGTGTGTGCTTTCATCTCCTAATCCATGGCCAGATCCTTTAGTCCAAAGTCAGGTAAGGACTCTGACAATGAAATGTAACACTGTGTCCTTGCCCAGGACTTAATGATGATTTATCTGTGCCTCAGACCTTAGTGAACTCAGCTTGTCATCTACTGGGGTCCCCTTTAGAAGCTTCTCATTCCTTTTAAAAGCACTCCACATGATGTGCAGGTGTCTAGAGCAAAGTGACTGGACTCTCTAACTTTCATGTCTCCTGTTGGTAACTTTTTTCTCTGAGGAATCAAATGACAATAACTTGGTCCAGAAAGGGCATAGTGGAGATGCAGGGGACCAAATACAGCAGATAGCAGCGCTGCTGACCCTTAGTCAGCAAATCATGGTCTCCAGGCTTCAAAAACAAATCTGAGACCAGAGAATTCTAGCACTCCTCAATGTCCGCACATCCTGCCCCAACTGGGGGCATTCAGGGTGGTATGGCCAAAGAATGTCCCGAATCCTGATCCAAGTATTTATGGGACACCTTCTGGAACAAAGCCTGGTGCAATTGGAAATCTCAGGGTAGTACACTGGAGAAACTCATGTTCTCCGGGGGAATAAAGGTTATGTATGCCGTGAGAGAATGAGACTCATGTGTCCATTGGCTCACAGAGGACTTAACAAACATTCATATTAACAGTTTTTGGCAACTGAAAGTACTTGTCATACTTAAGGGAACATAAAAACATGAACATAAAAAATGAAATTCAAGTGACTTGTGTGTTTACAGAAACAAGTTACACAAAAGGGAAATTTTCCCTATTAAAATGTTCTCTTATAAATTTTCTTTTAAAATTTTAAACTTTATTATTAAAAATCTTGCAAGTAAATCAAATAATCTTTAAGTGTGTGCAATTAAAAGTTATAGGGTTGCCTCTGCAAACACCTTCCCATGTTCTCTGTCATTCTGTAGATCTGGATTCTCCCTCCCCCACAAGGCTAGATCAACATCAGACACATGTATACAGCCCCTCCCCTTAGGCTCTTTTGAAGTCCAGACATGGGGTGGGGTATACTTTCACAGCACAGAGATTCCAGCAGAGGCCCCTTGTCTCTGACTCATCTTTTCCAAGTTAGATGTCTGTTATTCAAACCACTGATATATTTCCTTCCCTAGATGCTTTATGCTTTGGCTTTGTTGCTTCATGTTTGCACTCCCTACACTCCCCACTTCCCTGCAGCGTCAATCACTCCTCAGACCCTTCCACAGGGAAGAATTCAGGCCTTGGCTTTCCTGGGAGCCACCATCCCCAGCCTGTTCCTTCTGCACAGCACAGCAGGAGACTCCAGGTTTCTCAAGTCCCTCTCTAAGAGAGAGACCCTAACTCCTCACCACAGCCTTCTCCACACCTGCCACCTACGGTGCTCCCGCAGGGACTGGCTTTCCCCTTGATGTGTCTGCATGTGGTTCTGGGGGCTGAGAAGAGTGGAAGGGACGGCTGTGATTTCTCTAGAGAGACTGTGATTTCTCTAGAGAGACTGTGATTTCTGCTGTGATTTCTCTAGGATACCCTCTGCTATCAGAAGTGAGGGCCTCAGCCTCAATGGTGAGCCTATAGCACCTGAAAAAGAATCTTCCTCACACAGTGTTTAGTGTTTTGTACTGACTTGATTTTGGGAGCACACCTGTATTTCTTTATACTTCCCTAAAGGCTGAAGAGACCCTCAGTAGACACAAACCTGCAAAGGACAGGAACATAGGAAGGGATAGAGAGCTCTGGGAGGTAGAAGAGAGAGGAAGTGTTTCCTCTGACTCAGAGTCAGTGGGTACCTTTGTTTCTGTTTTTTGTTTTTTGTTTTTTGAATTTAGAGACTGAGTTCATTCAGTAGCCCAGGCAGTTGTCCAACCTATACTACAAGGCTGAGGCTTGTGTCAGACTCATGTAACCCTCCTGCTTCAGCCTTCCTTTTGCCGGTATTTCATGTGTGAGCCATACCTCCAGACTACAGGGGAGACTCTGAGGACAGAACAGATGGTTTGAATTTGGAGGCACTCAAGAAATGAGGGAGATGAACATATGCTCAGATAAACAGGAGCAAGCTCCAGGAAGCCAGAAACCTCTCACTCCAGAACTGTTTTCTTCTGTCACTGGTCATTCCCAGAACAGCCAGAGGACTTGGGAGAGGACCCTGCAGGGCGGAAACTGCTTCCAGACTTTGAGAAGTCAGCAGCCCTTTCCCCTCACTGTCTGAATAAAAAAGGTGCAAGTGTGAGGAGGACTCAGACCCAACACCTTTGTGAGACGATGCTTTCTGCTCTTTTAAAAAGACAAAAAGCACAGACTCGTGGGACATAAATGAGCTACAGTGTGTAACATCCTTTGGGTGGTGATCAACGAGGAGTGGGTGCTATGTACATGTCAGCTGCTCCCCATTATTTTTAGAGAATCGGGAAGTGTGCTTGTGATAAATCCCCAGTGACTGCCAAGAACCCAGAGCATTAGAGAAACCCAGTGTCCTGGCTGCGGGTTTACCTCCTTAGCTTGATGCCCAGATAGTACTGCATGCCTAGAAGGGAAGCCTATGGCCTTGACTGTGCTGTGCTGTGTGGACCTGGTGCTGACCCATGTGCAAGCCCCACAGTTTTCTGCTTGAGACTTTTGCTTCTTTGTCGTTTTCCTTCTCCTTGCTTTATCTGAGTCATTTTTGAGTTGAAATATTAACATCATCACCATTTCTTCAAGTCCATGCTTGATGTGCCTTCCTGGCCCTTTCCTCTGAGGTTCTTCCTATTCTCCGGACACAGGGTTCTTCCTCAGTAATTTTTCTTGACATTCCCATGACTTTCATCCCTTGCCACTTCCTTCTTCTTCATGCTTCTTGAAGCTCCATGAAGCTCCTTGATCAATTCTTATGCACCAATAGCATATATTAATTGTTTAGTAAATGACAGCGTAATTCATTTTCAGGAAACAGAATTTGTTATTTTATAATGAATGCTCTAATTATATTACTTATTTTTAATTCTAGGTCTGATTAGGAAGCAAATTCCATTAAACTTCTGAAGTTTATTAAAGGCAGCAATCAAACCCAACAGAATGAGGGTGACATCTAAGCCACTAACTTTTACTTTCCTGAGCGAGTCTGTTTTTGTTGTTTCTGGGTACTGTTTCAGGGCTGACCACTTTATATTGGGTAACCAATAAGGGGCTCATCCATGGGAAATGTAATTAATTCTCCTTCCTTCCCAGCAGTCATTAGTTGACTGTAGTTCCCTGTTAATTCCTCCATTGATATTGCCATTGTTCTTTGCAGCTATTTGTCTATTTGCAGCTATTCCTAGGAGGGTCTGTCCCAGCACATCCCTTTGGTCCCATCTTTTACAATCCTTCTGCTCCCTCTTGCAAAACGTGTCTTAGCCATAGGTGAAGGAGTTGTGTCTAAGTGTCCATTTGGACTGGACTCCCCATAATCAGTTGATGCAGACATTGTGTCCAGGTGTGGTTTCTATGATGGTCTCCATCAGCTATTGGAAGCACAAATCATAGAAGAGTGTATGAAAAAATCATATGGCTACTTTGCCCAGAATGCAACAGCGCATCCCTGGCTGATACTGCTGAGTCCAGCCTGGTGCAAACAGCAATGGGTGGCAGAAACTCACTCATAACCACATCTATCTTATTCTCCATGGAAGATTCATTGTTTTTTCTGGATGGGGAGTTATCTACCATTGCTGTTTTTCTAATGATGATAGTGTCAAACTGTCTTCTAAATATGCATATTTATGCCACAGAGAGTACTGTACTCAGCCTTCATCAGAGAACTGTTTGCCACAGTAGGCAGTGTTAATACAGAATTTGTCACTGGCCAAAGTGCTCACAGGTGATGATGGAGCATTCAGCCCTGACTATGACACCCATTTCATTCCTTCCAAGGTTCAGGGGACATTCTGGCAGAGAGGTGGAAACAATGTATTACCAGTGTCTGTAAGTGTTCTGAAATCATTACCCTGTCAGATGAAGAAGAGTCAGAGGGTGTTTCCCAGTCTATCAGTTTTCTATTCACTTTGACAATTTTTTCTTTCTGCACTTTTAAGCTTTCAAGTCATCCTGTTTGTCAGTTTTGATCTAATTTCCTAAGCTGTCCTTGCTTATGCCCAGGTCACTATTTCCTCTCAGTTTTCCTGTTATTAGTTTCTATTTCATGATTTGTGTGTGTTATATTTTGAAATGACTTTTGGGGGATGTAGATTATCAATTAATGCAGTTTTCTGAGCTGAAATTTATTAATTTTTCCCCTAATGAATTTGACATAATAACTGTGAGGCTGTAGATGAATGTTTCATTTCTGACTCTTCTAATATTATCCCATTGGTTAAATCCCTTTTCACACCAGTATCAAGCTGGTTTCAGTACCATTGTCCAGGAGTTCAACTGTAAATAAGATACTGTGACAGCTTTAACCTTGTTCTTTTTCTTATGCATGGTTTAGGATAATCAGAGGCTTTTGTGTTTCCATTTAAATTTGGGTTTTTGTTTTGTTTTGTTTTTTCCTATTTCCCTAGAGATTACTGTTTGGACTCTTGATAGGAATTTCACTGAACTATAGCTTTTTTCAGTAACATGGATATTTTTCCATTAATTTAAATTAGAAACAAACTGCATTTACTTGTCAATCCCAGTTCCCATTTCCTCCCTTCCTCCCCTGTAAGCCCAAAGACCCCCTATCCCATATCCTTTCTGCTCCCTAGGGAAGTTGAGGCCTTCCATGAAGGATATTCAATGTGTGTCATAAATATGGATATTCTAACAATATTTATTTGGCTGATTCATGAGGATACTTGTTTTTCTTAATGTCTAATGTTTTATTCATTTACTTTCCTCAATGTTTTATAGGTTTCACTGTGGGAGTCTCACACCTCTTTGCTTGGGTGATTGTCACATTGATGAGGTCTGCACTCACCTGGAGGGTAGCTTTGGTGAGGCCTTGTTGGGTTATGACATACCTATGTCTGTGGGAGGAAGCACCCTTTCCTAGACAGAGAGCCCTGAACTGTGTAAGTGCCAAGTCAGCCTGAGCACAAGCAGGTAGGCAGTGAGAATGTATGCATTCCTTACCATCTGCTCTTGGGCATGGTGTGATGGAACTAAGTGCTCCAAGCTTCTGTAGCTGTGACTCCACTGCAGTGATGGGTTGTAACTCTGACTTGTGTATCACAATAAACTTTTTCTCACTAAGGTTGTTTTTTTTTGTCAGGTTATTGTATCACACCAGTCGCAATGAATTTAGGGCAGGAACATTTGTAGGTCTTTATTTTGAATGGCATTGTATTTTTTTTTATTTTTATTTTTTGGTTTTTCGAGACAGGGTTTCTCTGTGACTTTGGAGGCTGTCCTGGAACTAGCTCTTTTAGACCAGGCAGGTCTCAAACTCACAGAGATCTGACTGCCTCTGCCTCCTGCGTGCTGGGATTAAAGGCGTGCACCACCAACACCTGGCCTTATATCCTGTTTGGTGATTTTTTTTTTTTTTGAGACAGGGTTTCTCTGTGTACCTTTTAAACCCATCCTGGCACTCCCTCTGGAGACCAGGCTGGCCTGGAACTCACAGAGATCCATCTGCCTGCCTCTGCTTCCCAAGTGCTGGGATTAAAGGCCTGTGCCACCAACACTTGGCTGCTTTCTTAAATTCCCTCTCAATGTATTCCTTACTGGTATATGGAAACGCTGCTGGCTTTTGTATGTTCTGTTTCACATTCTGATGCTTTTCTAATAGAATGTCTCTGGTGTAAGAGGTTTCTCATAGAGTCTGTTTTAATTATTGATCAGATTATCATCAAACAGGGATAACGTGATTTACTTCTGTGTTATTTGGAGTCTATTTCTTTGATACTGTTTTTCTTGGCTGAAAATTCAGGCAACTCTAGTTAGGGAAGAATGGGTTTATCTGGTTTAAAGTTCAGGGTGATGGAGTCTATCACAGCAGGGAAGAGATGGTGACAGGCAGGGATGACCCAGCGGCAGGGACAGGAAGTTGGCTAAACACATTTTCATCCACATGCATGAAGCAGAGAAGGAACATATGATGTGGGACCAGGCTTATAACCTCAAATCGTCTTCCAGCAATGCTCTATCTTCTCAAGTAGCCTTTCTCAACCTGTGGGTCATGACCCCATTCATAGGGACTGCATATCAGATATCTTGCATACCAGACATTTACATTAAGACTAAGAACATTAGCAAAATCACAGTTATGAAGTACCAACCAAAATAATTTTAAGGTTGGGGATCACCACAACATAGGAGCTGTTAAATGACTGTAGCATTAGGAAGGTGGAGAACCTGTGTCCTATTGTTTCCATAGCTTTTCCAAAGGTCTCCACAACCTGGGGACTAAGTGTTCAAACACACAAGCCTATGGGAGACATTACTGACCCTCAGCCACCACAGGCACCCAGTGCAAAGCACTTAGGGAACAGACACACTTCCCTCCTCCCTCATTATCACGGGAGACAGTTTCCTTTCTGTGTCAGAGTCCTGCTTGTTCTTTCATTTTATGAAGTTTGACATGAGAAACATTTAATATGCCTGCCATTTTCTTTGACTCCTATCTTCATCAGGACATCTTGCCATTAATGGAAGTATCTTAAAAACAAAACAAACCCAAAACCAACCAACCAAACAAACAATGAGCAAACCCTCTGAAGTCTGTGAAAGCCCCTTTCGTCATATGACATGATCATATGCTCTTTTGCCCTGAACCTGAGCTCTGATTGAGTGGCATATGTGGGACCATTTTTGTTTTTTAGTTTTTGTAGACACAAAGTCCTGGTGGCAGCAGGGCTGGGAGCATGTCCCAGCCTCAGACCCCAGCAGGGTAGTGCCTAGGATGATGAATAGAGGCAGTGGTGAGAAAGAGGCCAGAGCTGTTTTACTGAGAGGGGACTCATGCATGGTGACTTAGAGACACTTTCCTGTCTTCATCTCCCTTTAAGGTTGTGTGGGAGGCAGCTGTGGGTGTTTGTCCTAGAGTGGAGGGTAGCAGGCCTCTTAAGCCCCCAGTTTTCAAAGAGCACAAAAACATTATTGGTATTTGCAATTAATTTAATGAAGTAGAAAGAAATACCTTTGAGATTCCAACAATTGTCTTGCACTTTATAGACAGAAAGATACAATCAAGAAAGAAAAATTATGATTTGTGGTATCAGCTGCTGGCTTCTGATCCAAAGATCTCGTGGAAGGTTAATATGATGAACACTCTTCACTGTTGTATATTGCTTGCTGAAAAATAAATGAGGAAGTGACTTAAATTTTGAACTTTGACTGGAGAGCCCAATATTGAAGAGAAAAATTCTTGTTTTTTAAATTTTTTTGATATTTTCAATTGCTATTAAATATTCCAGAAATGTCCAAAAGAAAAATCTGATTATAGACATGTGTTTTATCATTTAAGAGATAAACAAGGAATTGTAAACAACAGCAGTAACAAAACTCAAACAATTTTGAATTTTCTTCAAAGACATTCCTTGATTGCCTTTCCCCTCTAAATCCAAAACCCCTGAGCTGCTTTCATAGGAACTCATTCTTTGTCCATCTGAAGCTAGAGGTGTCTGTGACTGAAGGTATTTAATGACCCTCAATTTGAACTGCTTTGCTATTATTCTCTCAACATTTGCACAATTGAATCTTTGCTTAAGAAAAAGAGGGTGACTTTAAAAATTCCTCTATGTTCTAAAAATGAGATATACTAGAACCAAATAGAGAAGCCCCACCTGTACTTTTAGGCCTTGTGTATTACTGTGGTTTTACATAAACAGTGCATATTCCTGAGTTTTGACACATGTAGCATGCTGAAAAGGAGTCAGGGACACTTTAGATCAATTCCTGGAACTACGTTCTTATACTTGAGAAGATTATATTGATATTATATTGCATTTATTAAAGGATTTATTTATTATGCATACAGTGTTCTGCTTGCACGTATCCCTGAAAAGGGCACCAGATCTCATTACAGATGGTTGTGAGCCACCATGTGGTTGCTGAAAATTGAACTCAGTGATCTTAGCCTCTGAGCCATCTCTCCTGCTCTACTTTTGTTTAAAGAGACCATTATTCATGTTGTTCTTAAAACTCTGATCTTCTCTACTTTTCTTTATTGGTGCCCAATGAAAGGATCCCTGATCACTGACACAAAGCAGGGCTTTCTGAGAATCAGTGTATTTTTCTCTGACTAAAGAATTTGAGGTGTTTCTCTTTCTCATGACATGCTTATGTATGTGTTCATGTGAGTGTGCCTGCATGTGTGTGTATGCACACCTGTGTTTTTTTTTTTTTTTTTGACTTGAAAGGAATGGATGAGAGAGTGATCTCTGGGTGATCTCCTTCATTTTTGTGTTTTTCCTTCATTGTTTTAAAATCCTCAGAATAAGATGGACAATCAACTGTGTCTTTCAATGGCTTTCTTGAACAAATTGTCACCACTAAATCAAATTATATCATCCAAAAATAGTACATGGACATGTTTTGCTTTGACCTTATTAGTCACAAAGTTGGAACCTGGTTTTTCCCCATTAGTGGGAAT